AAGAGCAGAATGATGATTGGGATGTTGAAGGCAGAGTCAAAGTGAAGAAGATGGAGAATTCATATAGACAGAGATTGTAAGAATTATAGGTAGGTGCACGAGTGCCACTGTTTATGACACCTGGCCATTTCACTTAGTCTCTCTAATCATCGTTTTCCTGATCCTGGGTTCTTTATCCAGGGAGCCCAGCGACATATATGTGACACACTGTCCGGGTTGGTGTTTTGATAGCATCATGCCAGGTCTTGGTTTGGTCACCTGTGACCTTTTCCAACAGCTTCTTGCCTCGGCAAATATCGTACGCCGTGCAACCTGTTTTGTGACATGAGCAGCACATGTCCCATCCAGTGTAGTCTATAGGTGTGGGCCAATTTTTTCCAGTGGACAAAAGCGATTACCCAAACTCTTCGTCCAGTTTTCGTTTGGCCTAGATTAGTTGACAAGTGATCCACCATAAGGATATTGTCAAAATCAACAAGTAACAATTTTTTAATTCGAAGTCAGAAAATCTTACTACTGTGATTTATGCTGATAATCCCTGACCAAGCGTTTCTCAACTGTGTCAAACGGAAACCTTCAAGGCGAACGCGTTAAAGTGACGGATTAGAATTAGTACAAAATGAACTTAACTGGGGATTTCGATTTTTCCTAATCAGTCAGCATTCTATCTCACATTAACAAAGGTAACACTTACGAAGATTTCATTCATTAAGGAGGAGTTATATTTCTCTCTCTTCTTGTTTGCTCCCAGTGAAGACTTCTTTGTACTGGGTTATGCTTTCGAGAAAAAGTCACCCGAGGACGATTTGGACGTGCAGGTAACCGATCCCCGCAGTTTACGAGCTCGACCACGACGTGTCCTTTCAACGGACGGTTCGAAACTGTACAACCTCTGGTTTATTCCACATTTCATTGAGGTTCTCTTCATTTTTCGTCATTTGGACGACGAGTCCTGTACACGAGCTTTGCGTTGCATGGCGCGTCTGGCCTGTGTGCTGCACGATATTCTTCATTATCTGATTGCATACGCACGGCTCGGAATTAGCTCGGCTAAGATCACACCGGAACAGCGATTGCAGATCATAGCGGGTTCGAAACAGGTAAGGCTTCTAGAATTTGACGTCCCGTTTTTCATGCGAAAGATTCCGTTTACCTGTCTATCAATCAATCAATCAATCAATCAATCAATCAATCAATCAATCAATCAATCAATCAATCTATCTATCTATCTATCTATCTATCTTTCCACCTGTTCGCTGTCTGAAGTTTTAGGTTCCTTGAATGTTGGTTTGTGTACAGTTTCTGTAAGAACTTTTCAACGCTGTGAATCACAAAATTCGCAACTAAAATTCCCACGACGGACCCAGCTACAAATGAATCCGAGTACAAGGAATATACTATGTGTTGATATAACCCTATCCTCAGGTCGGTCGTTGATGCGCCCTACGAATGACATAGCGTCTTATCACTTTACATGTGCAATGGGCTGTGATGGCCGGATAGTAACGTGACGAAGTTATCAACCACGATGACGTGGCAACCCTTTGATTGGCCACTTCCCCGTTCCTGTAAATCGTACATTTGTATATTCAATTAAGGGAAGTAAAAATGAAGAAGAAAAACAACACGATACCCTGTTACTGTCGATAAAGTTTTGCAAACAACTGTCTCGAAATGACGTCAGTCCAACTGACCTATCCACAGCCAAATCGATCGTCATTCAGATATAGGATCCCCAAGAACCTGTTGTAAACGAAAGCACTCCGTTCAGGTTTATCCTTGTCGTATCTACAGAAAAATAAATCTTGCGTGTCATTCCCCTGCCAATCCCCACTCGAGCGATGTACCAACGATGAAGTGGAGGTGATTGTATGAATGTGCGTAGCAAGCTCTTTTCGCTTAGTGTGATACAATCAGAACCAAATCAAACACAACAAATAAACTAGTTATATCACTTTACTGGTAGGTTGAGGAGGTACCGAAAAACAGGCTTCCAAACTTGCTTTTCATTGCGGCAGTGTGTAATGGCAAAGTAAATATTCTTCAAACACATTGCAAGGTTGTGCATTCAACAGTTTTAAATACCTAAACGGTCACTTGAGTCATAAAAGTCAAGCAAAGTGCAACAGTCTAATTACACACTTTTTCTCGAACAAATACATACTGTGTCCACATTTACCTCACAGTTACCTGTGAGCAGTGGTGTGGCATAATTGACATTGATTTGAATTGACCATCTCTCGGGCTTCACCTTCACTCAGTCCGAATAAAAATACGGAATCAAGGTATCGTTGGCAGGAATGAGTAAACCGTCAAAATATCAACTTTGGTGAGGCTAACTGGTTTGCGTTTGGCCAAGTGCAGTTGCCCGGTTGATCGGATGAATTACGCGGTTCCTTCCCCTCTTCAATGCCAGTCAAGTACCATGCAGGGGGGGAGGGATGGTGGGGTTGTCAACACGGCCACGTGACTACGTGCCGGCACTTTGACCTTGATCAACAGTTGAAACGGCATGATTCGAAGCGGTGAGCTGAAAGAATCACGGTAGTCGTTACGTCAATCTAAACACACATACACACTCAAGAACATCAATTATCACAAGTCCATCTTCTCTCCTCAAACTCGGATTTCCTTCTCAAATGTTTATCTCCTCTACCAACCTTTGTTAATCTGCTATAAATTGTGCTGTGTTTAGCCAGTTGAGGTAGTACCGAAATCGAGCTTGTTTGCTATTTTGTGTTCGCAATCTAAACGCTTGGTCAACCATTCGCAGCTAGACAGATCAGGCAACGCGATGGGCTGTCGTGATTTGGATGATTCGTTTAGATGCATGATAAGGTACGGTAATGCGCGCACGGTCGGTTAAAGGAGGAGTGGGGGGGGGNGCGAGACAGCAAATGTAACCATAATGCAATCAGCTCTATGAGAGATGGTGTTTACTCGCAACTTCAGCTATTGAGCTTCCAGCAAAATGACAGACGAATGGTGGCTCGTATTACTGGACCGAGTGTTTCGTCCTTGTTATGACTTTTCCCTTGTTGCTATCCCATATCGTAATGTTTGCGTGAATTGTACATTTTTTCAAGTTACACTTCAAAATTAACTTCTTGAACGAATATTCATCTCGTCCAATCTCCCACTGTTGTGTGTGTGACATGCACTACTCAGAACCCGACCAATGCTCAAAAACGGAACGCCTCACGAACTAATCTACCCACGGCAGCAGAAGCGGCAACCGCAGTCGCCGGAGCTACGGTTTCCAACACCCCGGTCGCACAACTTGTGACTGCCGGCACTATTGGGGGCATGAATATGGCACTGTCTGCCCCGGCCATCTCGATCACGCCATTGGATTTGAATGCACACGGACATAGTCTGGTGGTCGATCAAGTAGTTGGTGAGTGTCATTCAATCGTGTGTCATGCGGACGTGTTTATATATAGGAAGTACAAGTGATTTGACAATAGAGTAAGTATTTTTAGATTGGTCCAGCTTTTTGTACAATAATAGATCGACCAACACAACTGGTGAGTCACTGCGAGTGATTTATCTTTTTGATAGTTTCCTGTGTCACAATTCGGTCGGAAGTACTCCAAACCGAATAAACGAAATCAATGAAAGTTGAAGGACTCGAATCAGTTTCTCACCGGATTCCGTTATGTGTAAAATTTTCCGCCGAAAAGAATCATTTGAGTCCAGCTATTTTCATTCAAAACGTTTTGTAACAACTCACATTTTCCACCGCTCATCTGGGGTAAAGTCAACCCTTTCAATGCTATTTGCATTAGTTTGTTTCAGAAAAACAATTAAAGTTGATTTCTGTCATTTACGGCTAATAAAATCTCAACGGACGCAGAAACGTTGGCCATCACTGTGAGAGCAAATATAAAAGTTGCTTGCATCTTCTGTGCTCCACCCAGACAAATGTCTTTACTGCTACATTGGGTTTACCTTCATAGATTGGCTTTTACTCTGTGATTGAGAGAAATTTTTTGTGTGGCGTATGTTTGGAAATACGTAAATCTTTCCGATGCAATTGTTCTTACATCTGTACTGCATGTACCATGTTTGATCACCAGCTTCGTACTTCAAGAATTTGGCCGAAGGGCTAAACCTTGGGCTTATTAAAAGTTTGTAAATTCAGATTTGTCAGAATGTACTGAGATGCTTCCTCCAGCTGTCTTGTAGAATTTATCTACAACTTTTCCTGATAAAGTCTGTTGAGAACACGAAATGTTTTAGCAACAGCCACTAATAAGATAGCATACACTCACAATAAGTTAACCTCGACCCGCGGACCATCAGCCTCGATGCACGAAATTTGCTATGCCGTTGTAAGCGAAACAGATCAAGAAATATCGAAACTTTCTTAGGTCAATGAATGTTGAAAGAATGTAAAACTACAAAATACGGTGCTGTTGCAGCTATGGACACTCCGAAGTGGTCTCGGAAACAGTTCAAGGTCTCCCGTGGAGTAAAGTGTCGGTATATTTTAATAGTATGATTGTTACACACAGAACATAGCCTATTTTTACCGAGTTTCTATGAAGCTGCCCACCTGCCTACCGAGCAGCCAGGTGTCGGAGTCAATTTTATCTTTGATCATAGGTTCACGTACTGAATGACTTCGGATGCTTGGTTGCATATCAACCAACAAATTTGCTTTCTCGGAATACCCTTTTGAAGGATGTAATTAGTAAATTCGTTTAATTTTTGGCACAGTAAAAATGGGCTCACTAAAGACACTGCAATCGTGCGAGATTAAATCGCTGGGGCGATACGAGTTTATCTTTTGAACTTTGTTCAATCAATTTACAATACAGCATTTGCTACCGCTACAATGGGTAGCTGTACGGCATACGATTACCACATTTCATTTATTCGCCAAGCTTTGCAGCACCAACCTTTGTAGGAGATCAATATTTCCACATCGCTTGGCATCAGAATAATCCATTATTTTTTTATCTGATTTGTTTTACAACGATATGGCTTACGTTTGGGTATGGAAGCTAAAAGACCTTAGTTTAAGGCTAGAGAATTGCGCGTTTTGAATGAAGGAATTTAGGTAGAGGTGGGAAACGTTTTCTTATCGGTTACCAAGTGGATACCACATATACATAATTATGACTGAACGCCCAAGTTTATATTGCATTGATTTCATCATAGAGTTTACTCTGTGATCATGGTAACAGATTCTGATCAACAAGTTCCACCCGATATACCAATACGCTGATTCTAGTGGATGAAAGTTTTGTCACAGTCTATTATCAACTCGATTGAATTTATGCCAGTATATTGATTGGTTTCGTTTCTTCGGGCTTGAAGAACTTGGAAACCCAACTGGTTGACGCAGTTATACTTTCTTTTTTGGTGTTCTTTATTGCTCTATAGAGGATTTGAGTGACTTTGATGGTGGCCCAATGTCTACTTTGGGTATGTTTCGTTTGGAAATGGCAAATTCTTCCTTTTTGCGTTCAGTTCAAACCCAATGTTTTTGCTACGGTTCACTGTTCCGGTTGGTCCGGTTTTCACAATGTATAGTCCACTTATGCCGTCCAACTTTTTTACTTGTCTTTGTACACATATAGCCACCGAACTTCGTGAAATCCAGTACCAAATCAACCGACTGCCGGATCCCACCGAACCGGAACAAGTGATACAATTGTTGTGTCAGCGACGAGACTGTATGTTCCTTCAATTTGATGTCTGTTTGCGAAGCGTGTTGGGTGAAACATTTTTGGCCGCAGACAATCAAGAAGCATATCGCGTACGTTTACCGAAATCCATTAAAAGCCAAACAAACCTCAGTAATACATATTGATGCGATCATTGGACATTTTATCTCCTGAGCGTTTCTTGATGTTCTTTCAAAGTTTATTTTATCCGATTAGACCATCAATATGAACAATTAGCACTCGAATTACGAGCACATACTAATGATCTCATTTCACAGAAAATATTTAACACTTTGAAGTTTGGGCACACCATACTGTACATCACACACAGTAGGCTAGGTGACCGTACATGGTCAGGGTCACTCACTGTTTTTTAGAGTACTTTTCAAACTATTTCGGGGAACCATCAGTGAAAAAATGTGTACAAATTTGATGAAAAGATTTGGTTCGCTGTCTCTAAAAATAGGGTAATACATCGGCAAATAGTGGTGGTTGTGATGGTGATGGCTTGGGAATTCTGAACAATGCATATTGGAAGATCAGCGGTAGTGATATCAAATTCTCGGTCATGTTACGTCAAGTTGCACAAGACGGAAAAGTCTTTCACCAGTCATTCCTCCAGCTGCTTAAATAGTGAGGAAGGTCGTCGTTTCTCCCAAAGATTTGAGTTTCTCTCAGTGAATAATTTACAACACCATTTTAATAAGGGATAGTGGTTCCACGGAATCAGCTGCATATAACGCAAGATTATATGGAGAAAAGGAAAAACATGAATCCACTAATGATTTCGAAAATTTCAGTTCTAGTCAGGTCAACACTTTCTTCATATAATGTGGGCGGAATTTGTTGTGAAACGAATGTTATCGCTTTTGGTTTGGCATTGCACGCTATTAAAAATGAGCTTTATGATATGACAAATAGTTACTGAGATGATAAAGAATCGGACACCGAGAATGAGTAAACAAATGAGGAAGATGTCAACGTGAAAATTTACATTAGACTGTGTATAATTTCATTTGATATTCGTTCCCTGGTAACCAACAAACGTGAAAGGTAACGTACAACGGAGTTGTGAAAAGCAGTGGTACGAGTATATAAAGGTTTAAATTTGATTGCGGTTTACAGAAGTTGAAATGGAGCTAGATGGGGCCATGTGTAAGGGGTGTGACGCATCGAACAAGATGGAGTCACACAGACGGCCACACGCATTCAGGTTTTGGTTGACAATGAAATCAACCAGCTCCTCATAAGATATAGTATAGTTGGGCCCAGTCTAATTGTGAAATCAATGAGTTGCGCATTCTATCAGGCGCGATCACAGTCGATTAATTCATTTAATCTGGAGACGTTCAATTCGAAATCAAGGACGAGATTAAGTAAACTCGGTGTTTATCGCCTTCAAGCCTCCCATTACATGAATAATGTCCGTTGCTTTATCCTCTAACTTGAAGAATTTTCA